TTACAAGTATAGTAGAGGACAAAATTAGCTAACACACCAGCTAAAACGAATTTCTCATTATTCTTATTTGAGATGTTGCATGAAGAATCATATAAGATAAGCTATATTTTTTTTTTCTTAATTAATTATATTACACAAAATTTATTTGAATACAATAACAAATGCATGTTTGATAAATTTATCAAAGAGACTAATAGATAGTTGATAAGTTAACAAGTAACTTATGACCATTAATTGAAAAACCGAAAAGGTAACTGATATAGAGGCGACCACGTGTCGAACCAGCCCGCCCGAAATGAATATAAACGGCCCAGTCAAGCTTGTTGACCGCGGCCTTAAACCGACTCGTGGTTTTACTCAAGTTGACTCATGTTCACATATTTTTAAAAATTGAATCGGAGCTATTGCCTCGAGTTCTCGACGAAATTTTAATTTAAAAAATGGTTTTTTAATTAGTTTTTTAGTTTTCTAGTTAGGCCCGAATTTGGTTGGCCGTTTCTGAACAGTGAACCGCATGTTCGACCAGAAACCACCATAAGGCCTAAGCCGACATTTGGCTACCTCTTAAAAAAGGAAAATATTAGTAAAATTACTTGCAATTGACTTAAATTAATTTTCAACTGAATTTTTTAAGAAGACACCTAAAACTTATGAGATAGGGTATTACAACTTAGGAAAATCATCAATCGACGCAAACTTAAATGTGTAAGTTAACTAAATAAATTATAGTTAATAAAGTATGTACATATTTATTACACACATTATAAGTAAGAGCTAACTAAATATGATTTTGAGTTTGTTTGGCAAACAATAAGCTACTTCATACTTTATTTAGTTAGTTTATAAGTTTATTTTATTTAAATAAGATTGGTTGTCATAAGCTTATCTACATAGCATTTTAAAAAGTAATAGTACAATATCCGTGTACTACACGAGTTTTGAATTAAAAAATATATAATAAAAGTTATTGCTAAATACAAAATTATTTAAAATTTTGATGGAATTGATTAAAAAAAGAAAGAAAGAAAGAATAGAGAGTGCATAAGTGATTTGTTAATCATAATTTAGTATTGTAATATGAGAGAAAATTATAAGGCGGTAAGATTGGTACCTAAGCAAACTAAATTTGTACTAAGAGAAAAAATTAACAAGATTTATGATAGAAACTGTATTTTAACTTTATTCGAAATAAATGGATATTAATCCCAAGAGCTTTCATATTGAATAATCGAGAATCATAACCGAATAGCGGAAGCATACCTGATGGATTCATGTTGATTGATTAATTGAATTTGGGATTTGAAGATTTTCCAAAAGACCGTGAACCTTAATATTCTCTTCTGACGTATAAAGAAAATTTGATTTCTCTCTGATTGAGAAATTGATAACCCAACCCTTCCTTTTATAATAGGAAATTATGACAATTGAACACTTGATGTTGGTAGTGTCGGTCAACTACCAACTAATCCATTTTATTATATATATATATATATATATAATATTATTCCGTATGGGTTATCCTAATGGGCATCACTTTATTTTTCACGGCTTTTGGGGACTCCACCCATTAATAATTTTGACCCAAATTATACGTTATTTAGGTCCTTTAGTTTAATATTATTATTTGTTACGTCACCAAATAATAATATTACCGGGTGTCCACATTTAATCATTCCACAATCAAAATTAAGTTCCTTAGCCAATATACAATAATTTGATCACTTTATTTTGGCTAAACAATATAATGACCCAATGTATTAATTACACATATTTAATCCCAAATAGATCTAACAATCTCCCACTGGATTAAATATGTGTCCTGATAATACATTATACCTTATGAGCTCAAAATATGGTCATTATTACAGAACTTAGACAATCTGGTCCATTAATCATAATAATATAGGACTAAAGTAGTTCGCCGTATAAACACAGCTAAACTATCAATAATCACATATATCATAATGATTAAATGACATAGATCAAATTGTGGAACATGTGGCATAAAAATTACATGAATGTGATCAACACATGTCAATTTTCAACTAGTCCAAACTTTATGAGATCGTTAAGGTCCAAAATATAATGTACAAAGTGTCATGAACCAGAACTTTATTTCTGATCAGAATAAGTACTTTACATATCATCGAATAACAATGACAAAATATGTAGCAAATACTCCCACTAGAGTGAAGCTTCCTGAA